GGGGGTATGACAGAAAAAACTGGATAAATTATGTATATTGTATTGAAACAGATGAGGGAAAGAACAGATTAGAAGTGATATATGATTGAGTATTAAGGTTAGCACAGGAATCCAGAATTAAGGTTGCATAGAGAAGTGTACTCGGCGTGGGGGCTGGGGGGAAGGGACGTGGGAATTGTATACTAATGAAGGAATTTTTTTTCTTTTTTTTTTTCTCTCTTTGGAGGGGGAAGCGAGCTGTTGGGGAGGGGTGGACAGGGAGAAAATTGTGGCAATGAATGAATGGAAATCCAAAACCTCTGAAAAAATAAATAAATAATTTTTTTTAAAAAAAAGACAAATGGCATTTCTTTTTAAAACATTATTTAAAAGATTTATAAAAGATGGGTAAACTCACCTGTCATGGGATCAAAAAGTTGATTAGCTTCTAAGTCTGTGAAAGTACTACTACAGAAAGGACATTTGAAGGAAGCGCGGTTGGTGGAATCTCTCTCATCTGTTTCAATCCTTCTTCTCATGTGGTCCAATTTATATTTTACCACATTAACAAGAGTACGATAATTGATAAAGTAGTAGTTATGGCGAGTGGTTTTTCCATCTGCAGCAGTCTCTACTCTCATTCTGCATTTGATGAATTTATCTCCCTTTAAATTATTCAAAACCGATCGAAGTTGTTTCCGATCAAACTTGAGCAGTTCCAGCATATCCTCCTCTTTCACACAGGGGTTCCGAATCAAGATGTCCAAAGCCAAGGCGTGCTCAATGCCATAAAAGCCCCGGATCACATACTTGGCTAATCTCTTCAAGGCTGCAGGAACCTCAGTGAGGACATCTGGGTCTGCCATCTTCAGCAGCAAGTTTCAACTTCAAAATTGCTGAAGTGAGAAGGGGAAGGGGGAAAATGATAAAGAAGAGTAAATAGGCATAAGGATATGGTAATCATTTTAAATTTAACATTCATAAATTCATTACTGGTAGGTGATGGTTACCACTACTCTTAGAATGCCGCAAAGATACCTAAGCATTTAACACAGCAGAATTCGATTTTTCCCTAGAGTAGACAAGAGATTATATCTATTAAGCTTGAAATATTGCTTAAGTAACTACTTCTACAAGATGTTTGATTCTAAAGCATAATTTATTAGTTAAAGCACAAATAGTTTGGGAACTTGGCCAAGCCATTCGGCAGATCTAAAAAGACAAAGAGGGGGCTGCAATCAGATGAGTGACTCACTCCCAGAGCCAGTACATAGAGGTGCTGGGTAGTGAGCGGCCTGTGACTCCCTCCCCCAGAGGGAAACTCCTCCAGGTAAGTTACATGGTCCCCATAGGGCCAGCCCACTGCCTAAAGAGGACAACAGACTTCACGAGAGGGGACTGCAGTCAGGGGCACGACTCACTCCCAGAGTCAGCACAGTGAAGTGCTAGGGTGGGAGCTTCCTGTGACACCCCTCACCCCCAATTCAGGAACCTGGTCAGGTCACTCTGCAGACCTAAGAACACGACAGAGGACTGCAATTAGATGAGACTCATTCCCAGAGCAAACACACATTGGTGCTAGGAGTGAGAAGCCTGCATTTCCCAGGAGAAAAACTGTTTAGGTAGGACACCTGGTCACCACTGGGGCCAGTCCAGAGACCACAAGAATATCAGAGAAGGGCTGCAATCAGGCAAGAAACTCACTACTAGAGACAGCCTATTGTAGTGCTGTTCCCAGGCAGTTGCTCGGAATCCCCTAGGACAGAAACTAGAGCATGACATTCTATAGACTAAAGAGGACAATCAACTTCAGGGCAGGAGGCTACAATAAAGCAAGATTTTTGAAGGGCTGCATGGGAGTCCAGAAAGGATCATAGGAAAGGTAAGCTTTCTGGCTTCACAAATACTCAGAATTTCAAATAAAGCAAATTCCCTACCACCATAGATGAAACAGTTTATGCCTACAATAAATCTACAACAACATCATAAAGATAAAGAACTGTCAACAAGCTATTTGGACACAACAGAAAAGGCCCAACACAGGTGGGACCTCTGATACACTGTTGGTGGGGATTGTAAAATGGTGCAACAAAGTTAGAAGACAGTTTGGTGTTTCCTCAAAAAGTTGAAAAAAGAAACTCTATATGACCCAGCTATTCCAGTACTAGGAATATGCTGTTGATGTTGTTATGCGCCCATCACCCATATAGACCCTAAACCCTGCCCTGTCCTACCCAGTATCACTAATTCCAAACAAACATCTCCATCTAGAAATATATCTCAAGAAAATTGGAAGTAATACATGGAGATTTGTACACCAATGTTCATAGCAGCCTTATTCACCACAGCAAGAACATGGAATCAGCCTGAATGTCCAACCACAAGCAAATGGATTGAGAAATTGTGGTACATTCACACAATGGAATACTATGCAGCTCTCAAGAGCAAAGATTTCAGAAAAATACTATATAACTTGGGAGAGGCTGGAGAGCATTATGCTAAGTGAACTAATACAGTCTCATACAGGTTTGTCCTGGAGAAGGTGAAGCCGGAATGTTCCTTGGAGTCAAGGATTCTGAAGCTTCATCATACTTTGGGCATATTGCAAGGAGGGACTAGTCCTTGGAGAGGGACATCACGTTTGGGAGAGTGGAGGTACGGCACAGGAGAGGAAGATCTTCGATGAGATGGAGCGATTCTGTGACTGGAGTGGTAGGAATGAGTGCATTTGAGATAGGTAGATCGGCACAGGATAGAATGGCATTTAGGGCTTTTGTACATAGGGCTGCTATGAGTCGCAAGTGACTCAATGGCATATAACAATAACAAAGAAATAGTGCATAAGACCATTATTGTAAAAAAAAAAAATAGATGGATAACTAGTAAAACATATGGAAACTCAAAGGGGGAGATCTGAGGACGGGTAGGAGCAAAACCACAGAGTTACACAGTTTTGGGGTGGGGAAGAAGTAAATGGGAAGGGCCAGGGTGAAAAGACAGGGTAATGATGGACAAGGTCCAATGGTGATTAATTTTATAAAACACAATGCATAAGAATGATTGTATGAAACACAATATGAATGAAGAATATCATGAAACACAATGTATATGAACTTTGTAAGTAAACCAATAAAAAAAAATTTTTAAAAGTCATATGCAGAGAGGAAAAACCCAGTAGCTTTACTGTTGTTAAGTATCCTCCAGTTGCTTGTGACTCATAGTGACCCTATGTATAACAGCTCTGGATCCTGCTATATACTAAACCAATTTCATTGTCTCTGACATATTTATCCCCATTACCCCAGAGTCAATCCATCTCATACGGGATCTTCCTCTTTTACATGGTCCCTCCACCTTTCCAAGTATTATGTCCCTGTCCAAAGACTGGTTCCTCCTTGCAACCTGCCCAAAGTATTTCAGACAGAGCTTCAAAATCCTTGCCTCCAAGGAATAGCCTGGTTTCACCCTCTCCAGAACAGACTTGTTTGTTATCTTAACAGTCCATGATATATTCCATATTCTTCTCCAGCACCACAACTCCAAGTCTTTGATTCTTCTTCTATCATCCTTAGTCACTATCCAGCTCTCTGATGTATAACAAGTAACTGCAAAACAATTGGCTTGGATGTGGCACACCTTAGTCTCTAGACTTTCATCACTGCTCTTCAGTACTCTGAAGAGGTCCCTGACAGATTTCCCAATGCAATTATTCTTCTAATTGCCTGGCTGCTGGTACCAAGAGTGTTGACTGTGGACCCAAGCAAGCTGAAGCTCTAAACAATCTCAAACTCTTCTCCGTCTATCATTATGCTGCCAGCTGACTCAGTGGCAAGAATCTTTGTTCTCTTGATGTTGAGCTTTAATCCATGTTGAAGGCTGTAGGAAGCTTTAACATTGTGAAAAAATAAAATAGGCCTTCTTTAAAAAAATCAGAGCATATTGCAGACCACAGAAACAGGAAGACAGAAGAAATATAGTAATATGGAATCATATAAACAGCTAACAAAGAAGGCACAAATGATGAAAAAAAGAATGGAAGCTATAAATAAAGCAAATACTTCAGAAACGAGGAATCAGAAGAAATAGATCAATGCAGAGCAATATGAATTACTACAGAATAAATTACAAAAGATGGAATAAAGAAGTTGAAACTATACATAAAAAGGTACAAGAAGTTAAAAATCAACACAAGACATAGAGGGTACAGCTAACACAGTACTGGAAATAAAAGGGAATAGAGAGTCCTTGAGCTGGAAGACATGAAAGTCGGGAACAAGCATGAAGAAAAATCAGAGAGGAGACAGCAGGAAAACAAAGACAACATTAGAATCATGTGATAACATTAAAAGAACAAAGTACATATGATCAGAATTCTAGAATACAGGGGCGGGGGGTCAGGGAAAGCAGTGAGAAAATGATGAAAGAGGTACTAGAAAACTTTCCAGGTATCATGCAAAAGAGGACATTAGCATTCAAGAATCCCAGCAAACCCCAAAGAGACTAGACACCCAAAGAAAACATCAAAACATATGAGTGAAATTCTACAAATCAGATAAGGATAGAATACTAAAAGCAGTGTGAGAAACACAGAGTCACCTACAAAGGAGAACTAATTAGAGTAAATTCTGATTTCTCAGTAGAAATTATGCAAGCAAAAAGACAATGGTGTGACATATACAAAAGGATGAAAGAAAACAATTGTCAGCAGAGGAATCTGTTCTCAGCAGAGTTGTCCATCAAATATGAAGGAGAAATTAGGTCATTTGCAGTAAAGCAGGAACACAAGGAATTTGTGAAAATAAGACCAACACTACAAGAAATTCTAAAGGAAGTCCCTCACAGAGACACCAAAGGAAAGTGAAAGGACCATAGTAATCAGAAACAAATAAAACCACAGCAAAACGGTAGCAATATAACATAGCCTGTCAATAATCACTCTTAATGTGAATGCATTAAATGCATCAAACAAGGAAAAAGGGCAGCAGAGTAGGCTAAAAAATAAAGCCCATCAATAGGATTCTTACAAGAGACACACCTAAGAAACAAGGAAAAAATCTAAAAATCATAGGGAAAAAATATACAAAGCAAATTGCAACCACAAAAAAGTAGGAGTGGCAATACTAATTCATGTCTGATAAAATACACTTCAGGATGAAAATCACTACATAAGGAAGGACACTATATGATGTTAAATGCACAATGGATTAAGAATGCATAACTTTCGTCAAAATCTGTGTGCCAAATGACAGCCCTGGAAAATACATAAAACAGTTAACAGACTTGAAAGAAACAGATAGCATCACCATAATGGTAGGAGATGTTAACATGCCACTCTCACCAAAGAATAAGACACCCTGAAAGAAAATTAAGAAAGATGCAAAAGATCTAAACTATAGAATCAGCCACCTTGGCCTTGTGGATGTATTCTGGGTACTGCACCCAACTAAAAGTCAATTTACTTTCTCAAGTGTACATGATAAATTCTCCAGAACTGATCCTCTATTAAAACACAAAGCAAGCCTTAACAAATTTAAAAAAACACTGAAATAATAAAACATATCTTTTCAGACCACAATGCCACAACACTAGAAATTAATGAGAAGAAGGTAAGCTTATAAAACCACCCATGTGAAAGCTCAATAACACCCTGTTAGCCCACTGGCAAGAAGCTGCACTGCAATCTTGAAGGCACACTGTTTGAGTTCATCAGCTGCTCCATATGCAATTAACTTCCTCCAAAAACCCATTGAAGGGTCAGCTATGGGTCAAATGCTATGGTACTCAACAAAACAGAACATGATTGGGTCATAGAAGAAATAAAAATAAAATTAGTAAGTTCCTTGAAATAAATGATAATGAAAATACAATATATCAAAGCCTTGGGGAATATAG